CACAGCAGGGGCAAATACTACGGTGGGCCGGCGACGGTCTGGTCACTAGGGATTGTGATGTTCGCATTGTTGTGCGGACGCTTCCCTAGTGACTATGACCTGTTCCTGCTGCAGTACAGGCGCTGGTCCCAACCCGGCCGGTCAAAAGGTGAGATCTTCATCTAAAAAAAATAATAATAATTAAGAATCATATAAAACATCTTAGAGCTTAGAATAACATGATCAAACAGAGCTGATGTGAAGTGTGAGGTAGTAATCAGATGTCTTTCCCGTCTTCCTGCACAGAATGCTGTGACCTCCTCAGGGCTCTCCTGCCCGAAAAACCAAGGCGGAGACTTGGTCTGGGGCAAATCAAGTCCCACAACTGGTTTAAGGTAGTGAACCTAAGATCAGCTATGAAGAATTAATGTCCTCATGAGAAAGAAGCAAAAGCTCAAACCTCTTCTTTTTTGTGTTTTATTTCAGGTCGTCTCATAAGACCACTCCAGTTGGCGTCTCTCATGCAGCTTTGCGTCTTGCGGGCTGCAGCGGGAGACGCTTCCATCCCTCCTCTCGCCTTTGCTTCTTGCGGGGCGAGCAAGCCTTGTGTAGCGTCTTGCGCCTTGGCTTGAGGAAGCAGTATTTGCGTCTGGCGGTACTGCTTCCGGAGGGATGTGTACATATTGTATATATGTACATACTTCTTTTGGTTGCCCCTTTTTGTTTTTCCCATCATGGCCACTCCATTCCTGAGGTTCCTGCCACAGCTGTCCAAATGCCAGACTTCACCTCTCATCGTCCTCAGTGCCAGTGCTCTTGGTCTTGGCTCCTCCTCAAATAATTGCAGTCTCAGAGGTTCATGTAACAGCCCCAGCCAGAGTCAGCACCCAAGACCATCTCAGTCCCAGAGATACCCATCTCAGCAACCCTGGTCTCTGAGATCCATAGTGTGTCTGTCCAGACCCAGGGTTTCTTGTCAGAAGCTGCACAAGACGTTAAAAAGCCATTATAGCAGCCACAGGGGGTGCCATCATTGGTACCTGGTCTACAAGCTCCAAATCAGAAATAAAGAACAATATTTGAAATTAAGGTTTTCATTTAGTCGTTTAGCAGATACTTCAACCCAAAGCATTTCACAAATGGGGAACATCACAAACTATTAATAAAAAAAATAAATACAAAATAAAACATCAATCATACTCACAGAACCACAATGGCAAGGTAAGTAGAAGTTAGCAGAGGAAATACAGGTAAGAAAAACAAGAAACTGTGTTTTAATAGAACTTACTTTGAGGAAGTGCCTTTTGACTTCATACCTTTTTGAACTGAACCACTAGATGATGCTCCTTCACAGACCATTGTGGAATGGAGAGAATATGATATCAAGTATCACAAAGTGATATTCCTTTAAATATATTTAAAATGTAAAATGTATAATTTCAAAAGCTAGCATACTTTATCTAAATAAAATGTATATTGACATGTAGGGACATCATGTTATGAAATTCAAAAAATGTAAGTGAATTATATGGCTTCAGAAGAAGTTGGACTATTTTATGGTGTTTTTGACCTTTTATTGCATGATAAAAGTGAGAAGATTCTTCTTTTTACTTTAATAGTATAGTCTCAGCATTGTGTTGCTGTTCTAATTTACTGAAAGTTTAACTTCAAACATGTTTGTGTATGAACGTAACCATTCTTTTGTTTTCTGTAAAGATTAGTTTTAAAAAGATTAACAATCACACTGAAAGAAAAACTAATCATAATCAACAATAATTTCTTCAAATGTCACATACTTCACTCTTTCACATAACTAATAATACATTGATGTGCAGTGACCTACACTTAGAACATACAGAGGTCTCTGGCTGAGCAGTTTGTGCATCTACAGACAGAGAATGCAAAGGAAAAAAGTCAAGAACAGACATCCAACTGATAAACAAGAAAAATGTTGGAACAGACTCATGTGTTTCTTGTGTAGAAAAGAATAATTTCTTAAAGAGATCAAATCAACACCTCACATGTATTAAACTGTGTGAAGCAGAATGCTTCAATTTAATGTAGCATACTACTTTGAGTCAATCAGCATGGAAAATACCATTCACATACTATTTTTAAAGAATAATACAGGTGCATCTCAATAAATTAGAATGTTGTGGAAAAGTTCATTTATTTCAGTAATTCAACTCAAATTGTGAAACTCGTGTATTAAATCAATTCAATGCACACAGACTGAAGTAGTTTAAGTCTTTGGTTCTTTTAATTGTGATGATTTTGGCTCACATTTAACAAAAAAACACCAATTCACTATCTCAACAAATTAGAATACTTCATAAGACCAATAAAAAAAACATTTTTAGTGAATTGTTGGCCTTCTGGAAAGTATGTTCATTTACTGACACTGCATAATTCACTCTTTCATTAAACTTATTTTACATTGAGGTGCACTTACCCCTCATTGACCTATACATTAGCATACTGCGCTCTGGTGGAGCAGAAAGCAATGTTCAGAACAAATTCAGATCTGGAGAAAGAGCCAAGAACAGACACATCCAACAGAACTAACAAACAAGAAAAGCTTTGGAATAGGGATGAATTAATATGGATATCTTCAGCCAAGAACTATTTTACTGTAATCTTAAAGGCCAAAAGCCTTTATTTGCTTTTGTATGGTTTTGTTTGTCAATGGACCCATAAAAAGAGTTACAAGAGCTGTTTTTGGCACTCAGTCATTTCCAGTGAATGTTACTGAACTGATGTTATATCATGACAGCTGTCTCAGCAAACACCACAAACACATTCTTGCAGTAGTGGGATGGTTCTGCTTTGGGTGGATGGAGCTGAGCAGAAGTTAAGCTCACAGGCGGATTTCCTTTTACTTCCGTTTTCCTCCAGCATGGTATGCAAGCTGCATGTTCTTGTGTCGCAAGAGCAACCTGATATACAGACCTGTATAAAGCGGAAATCCTTTTCTAACTCTGAAAACCCTCAGCCCACGCCCAATCGTATCAGCACATTTTAGGGTATGTTATTATATTGATTGATGATGCCGCATTATTTTTTTAGTAGTGGCATCTATTAACAGTGGCTCGATTATTTAGCGTGATCCAGGCAGGATTGGTGGGTCGTTTACCACCTTTGCCGAGGACCCGTCAATGCACTGCAGAAATCTGTTCGTTGATGTTTTGCCTCTGTGTGGTGGTTTAGTAATGTGATCCATGGTGCATCGCTGTGGAGAATTCGTTGGGCTTCCTTCAAGTGCACACGCATTGTAGTGAATGAATAGCGTATGTTTGTGTGAGTGTGTGTGTGTTTGAGCGAGTGCTGTGTTCTTGAGTACTGTGCGTGGTTACTGCCACCTTTGATTATCTGTTGTCAATTCACTTATGACCAACAAGGGTTATTATCTGCTAGGAGGGTTTACTTTATTGGTTTATTTCTTCTTGTTTGTGTATTGTGTGGATTGTGGTTCTGGTTATTTATTTTGAGTGGGGGTAATTTTGTTGTTTCACAGATTGGCATGAAAGTGTGAATTGAGGTTGTTTGAATTTAATTTGTTTTGTTTCTGTTTTCTTTCCCAAATGCTGAGTTATCCCATGGGATATTAACATTGACCAGAAACGCTTTAGAAAACTGAGTCAGGCCGAGTACCAAAACAAACATGTAGCCAATCAGCAGTAAGGGGCGTGTCTACTTATGATGGGGACGAGAGGGCACTCAATGCACAGGACGGATATTAGCCGAGCCCAGCGATGACAGAAAGATAGAGATGGCGGATAAAAAGCAAAACAAAAGAGGAATACATCTTCGGAAGAAAAGGTGGCTTACGATAAGGCAAGAAAGTAGGACCTGTGCACTGGAGAGAACTCAAGGAGCGGGAAGGCCTGCGATCGGATGCCGAGGTTGCTTTGTTTCTTCTCAATAGGTGAGTAACATTGGTTTTGCTTTGTTTCACAGAACTAATATATGCTGGCTTTTGCTTGAATATGCTCGTGTGTCATTATCGTTGCCTGGGTTGTGTACGTATGTGTGGGGCGGAACTATCAAAATAGGGGCGAGACCCTTTTGGAGTAGGGGCGTGTTTGTTTTGGTGATTTGAAATATCAACATTGGCTACCAGAAATCACTTACCCCATCTTTAAGATACTGTTATTATAGGTAAATTGAAGAAAATGTAATTGGTGCTCATCATGCAAAAGCCACTGCCACATACTGGCATCCTGGGATTTTCTATATACAGTTTATATCTGAGGAATTTGTTTTCAAAAGTTCACTAACCGCATGTCCGTACTCTTCTCTTCACCAGCGGTCCTTTCACAGTCTGTCTGCTGTCTTTATTCACAGCAATAAAGGCTGTATGAACACTGCTCACTCCTGCCTGAACACTGAGCTCCACGATCCTGCTCCTGATGCCCTCAACATCTGCCGCACCTGACCTCTCCTTCTGCTCCAGAGAACGGATCAGGGTCCGAGCCACCAGCCGGTGAATAGACAACCTGCAGAAACATGGAGGAAATTTGTTGGATTAGAAAAGCAAACAGTTGATGTCATTCCAATTCAATATGTTTCTATGTGTGTTTGTGTGTGTTTACTGTGTTTCCTCAGTTGGTTTCAGGCAGAAGTGGAGCTGGTTTGTTACTGGTTGATCTTTAAGACTGTATTTGACGGTCACTGTTCCCACAGAGCCTCCTGAACTCTATGAAAGAGAAAAGGCAGATTTTAATAATCTAAATGAAAGACACTGGTTTTTAATTCTCATTAAATTGATTAAATCTAATCAATAAGTTGGGCATAAATGAGTGTCCTTTGACCCTGGAAGAGCACATTGATGGGTGGAGACAGTGCGTCAACAGTAACATCATCTGGAAGGGTCCAATCCATAGAGATATTAAGCACAGCGGGCTGCAGCGCAAACCTGAGCGACTGCATCACCTGATATAGTTTGAAGAGAAAGAGAAACCATTGAGACATTTGACTAGGAAACATTTGTGCCTGTGAAATCCAGTGGAGAGCTTTACTTTGGGCTGCATGCGGTCGGTGTCTGTGATGAACTGAGCGTGACCAGATCCCTCCCTGGCCATTCCTGTGATGAGGGCGGCACTCGCACCCTCACCAATCCCCAATGAGAAACACCTGAAGACACGATAAACTCTGTTACTGTTAGTGATGAAGATATGAATGATGGACAGATCAAACCCAGCAGAGCTTTACCTGTGAGAGTGAGCGTGACTTTTCACCAGATCCAGCACCTCTTTAGTGTTTCCCACCTATCCATCAGTGAAGATAAAGCAATAATTTATACCAGAATGGGCAGACTATAGTTTACAGGTTGCCAGACTTCAAGCCAAACCACTTGATCAAAGCTTTAAATAATCTGTTTTTAGATATTTTAAAGAATTTACCCAGACTCATATATTGGCTTTTATATCAGCCACCCTGCTCTCTAAGATATCAGCACTGGTCTTTACAATTTACGTTGTTCGACCACTAAATATTTTTCTCTAAAATTACTGTTTCCTTTATCTGTCACTCTACTTCTGTGTAATGTGCATGTTTTTTCAAAGAAGTTTTGAAGTTTGACAATGACTCACTTCCTGTTAAGACAAGCTGTACATAATATCATTAATTACAGTAAATAAGTCAGGTGCACATTGAGGTGTCGTACCTGTCTGGGGTGATCGGGGTAACAGGGCTGACTGTAGATGTGTTTTAGAGGCTGTAATATCTCTGTGCCGCCCATGTCTGCTTGCATTTCCTTCACTCTCTTCAGAGCCTGATCCATTGTGTCCTGATTGTACTCAACACTCTGACTGCAAAGACACAGAAAAAGATCAAATCTTCTCTGATACATTTCAATACTGAATATATATGAATGAAGATCTAGTTACTAACGGGAAGAAGGACTCAAAATCAGAGCCAAATCCATAGATATTGAAGTAGCATCCCATGGGCAGACTCTTCAACACTAACAGCAGAGTGTCCTATAGAGACATGGACAGATATTAAAGTGTGTCTCATCTGAATATACATCAACAGAGCAAAAGCACTAATTAAATCTTACCTTTGTACTTTCTACATTTGTGCTCCTTTCCCTCGATTCATAATGTCTTCCATACTGCCTGATCTGTCAATCACAAAAACAAACTCGCCTTGAGTTGCCAGTGATTTCATAAATTCTTCTGGGAAATCTGGGTACAAACTTATCATGACCACTGGGTCCTTTATCAGAGAACCTGAAAAAAAACTGCTCTGCTCACACATCCAGATAAACACATGAAGACACACAGTACCGTAGCCTGAGTGTGATCAGAGTGGAGGAACACTAGAGGACCCAGAGTGCAGTTGGACTCTAGTTTGGAGATGGGCTTTGGAGAGCTCACATGAACACTGAGAGTCAGCGTGTAGGGAACAGCTCCTGATGAAATCTCTGAGACTATACCAGCAGCTGAACCTGACACACACACACACACACACACACACACAGAGTGTGTTAGAATCAGCTTCTCTGCTCTAATAAAGTGTGTGTCAGAGCTGCTGTAGTACCTGCTGGTGTGTATCGGGGGCTGAGTACAGCCGGCAGACAGAAGCGCAGCGAGTGGTTGGCCTGCACAGCGAGCTCGGTGACGTAGATGATGGTGACGGCAGCATTCTGACCCGCCGACAGACACCCGACACTCAGTCTGAACACATCAGGACTCTCTGCACTCTCTTCCAACAGAAACGCCTGCTGACCCGAACTCACAGCGTCATCATACCGATCCCTCGCCTGCAGGATACAGTTTTGTTACATGATGTACAGTAAAAATCAGTGGTGGGCCATCAGGGTCAGCAAAGCCTTCTCTGCTGGCCTAAACACTATCAGAATCACTGACTTAGTTTTCATATATTTTTCAATAAATGTGTATTCAATTCCAATAGTCTGTTCTCTTCATTTCAGCTTTTCTCTTGGTTGCACTGCTTCCAGTAGTGTATGTTTCTATTAGAGCTTTCATCCAATCATATTTCAGTAATCGTGTTGCCAGGGTCAAAGAAATCTGCCTTAAGGCCTTCAGAATCAACAGTGCAGGCATCTGTTAGCTTAAATAAATGGCAATGGAACCGTTGCTTCAACCAATCAGATTTCTGGTCTTTTCCTCTGGCTGCAGCGCCGCTGACAGAGGCAGATCGGCGGGGAGACTCGGCGCCGTGAAGATGAGAGTCCTAGGGGTACGTTAAATTGGCACGTATACCTCATACACTTTTCTTCATTGTCTTGTACGAATTATTTTTAAGTTACTTGCTCACTTTCCCGTTAAAGCTGTGCTAATAGTATTTTCCTCCTGCAGCGTGCTGGCAGACCGGCGGGGAGACTCGTGAAGACGAAAAGTCATAAGAGTTCATTAAAATGTTAGGTCAACTTTAAAACACATGTAATCGCCTTATTTGTTTTATACCAATGCTGTCTGCAAAGTTGAAATACATCTGAGTGAATAAATGTCTGTAAGAACATCGGGTGGACTGTATTTGTGTTGTTTTGTAAGGTTAATGCTTCAGCTAGAGATGATGTGCGTTGTGCAGCTGTGGCAACTTGTTGAATTGTGTTAATTGGGTTTCTTGCTTTGGTAATGGAATTCATTCTTTCTACATGAGATACCTGTCTGTGATGCAATGCCCTGTTATACTGCATTTCAGTGTAATATTTATGGTTTCTATAGCTGTGGCATCATTATGATGGTATGAAGAGAGGGATTAATTCATGTAGGACACCACTGAAGGCCTAGGTGTAAAATGCACGGCCCGCCACTGGTAAAAATATATGCAACTGAGTTGCGGTTTGTATTTGGACTCACGGTTTCTCTGTCCTGCACCTCTGCCACAATCTCCTGCTCTCCGATCTTGGCACTGAAGTGGCAGACAGCAGCATCAGCAGGCAGAGGGAAGACGAACAAGGCCTCCAGGGGGCGCTCTTCCTCATTCACATACTGCAGAGTGGAGGAGACTGTGGCTACATGATCCTGAACCAGAACCTCCACTGAGATGCTCTTCAGAGGCACTAAGGCACACAAACCAACACAACAACATCACTAATACAGAAGAAAACAAATATATCTCATATAGCTTTGATTAAGTTTTTAATATTGTCATAAGAACATAAACGTATAGCTATATAATTAACATTTTGTGAACAAAAGAGAACAGAACATGTAACAACTTGCTTCATATGACATTCATGAAAAATACACTTCTAAATAGGATGAACATCCTTTCGGTTAAAATTCACCTTAATTACAGTAATACTGAGATAAAGACCTCGCGACTAACTTATCTGTGTGTTAACACCCTGGCTCTTACACATGTGAAAAAATATATATTTAGGAAACAATAAAAGTAAACAAGTGAACTCATAACTTACCAGACACATTTTTCTCTGAGAGAAGACCGCAGTTCATCATTCTCCAAACACAATATCAAAAATACACATCAGCACACATTCCAAAATCTACATCAAGGCCATGATTAGATCTTTATTCCTTTACATGTTAAAACATAGCCTAAAATTATATGTATGTACTAAAATATGATAAAGTATTTAATATAGTCTCTATTAATTAAAATACAGTCATTGAAATAGTACTCATATGAAATAAGATTTAGGTTAAATAAGTTCAATGTTTTAGGTTAAATACAGCTTGACACATCACAAGACTGCTGTCACTGAAAGTTCATGTGGTTTTATCTTTTAATAGACTACATCTTCAGTCGCTACACCATTGGCGATCAGCTGGGGAAAGGTGGTTTTGGTGTTGTGTACGAAGGGAGACGTTTGGATGATGATCATAAAGTCAGTTAATATAAATAACACATTATCAAGCTAGAAAATGTTTGTCCTGTATTATCCTCATCCTTTGCTCTTTTAGTGTACCTTAAGTTCATTTTTTTGTTTTGTTCATCAGGTGGCTTTGAAATATGTCACGAAGACCAAGCACACGGAGTGTATATTCATTGTAAGTACATTGCACTATAAACAATATAAAATGTCTCATATTAACATTAACACAAATCGAACGCAAATTTTGGAAAACCACCTCCATCTAACCATCATAAGAACTGTCTGTCTTCTAGCCTGATCATCCAAACCCCCTTCCTAAAGAGATCGCCCTCACCATCCTGGCGAACAAAGGTCACAGTGTGCCAGAAATAATCAGGCTGCTGGACTGGACGGACCACCCTGACCACTTTGTCATGATCCTCGAATGTCCCTCTCCCTGTGAGAATCTTGTGGAGTTCATCAGGCGTCACGGTGGAAGCCTCGACGAGGAGAAAACACGGCAGATCATGTGGCAGGCGGCTCACGCCACAAACATGTGCCACCTCCGCAGAGTGCTCCACCGTGACGTCAAACTTGACAACCTTCTAATAAACAGGGAGACATCCGAAGTCAAGCTGATTGACTTCGGATGCGGGGACATTCTAAGGAGGTCACCGTACAAGTCATACCGTGGTATGTATGATAAAATTAATTTCTTCTAATAGATACAGAACCATCATGCTGTATTAATGCAAACTTACACATCATACAAACTCCTCTCTCCTCCAGGCACAGCAGCGTACTCCCCTCCAGAGTACCACAGCAGGGGCAAATACTACGGTGGGCCGGCGACGGTCTGGTCACTAGGGATTGTGATGTTCAAATTGTTGTGCGGACGCTTCCCTAGTGACAATGACCTGTTCCTGCTGCAGTACAGGCGCTGGTCCCAACCCGGCCTGTCAAAAGGTGAGAACTTCATCTAAAAAAATAATAATTCAGAATCATACAAAACATCTTAGAGCTTAGAATAACATGATCAAATTGAGCTGATGTGAAGTGTGAGGTAGTAATCAGATGTCTTTCCCTTCTTCCTGCACAGAATGCTGTGACCTCCTCAGGGCTCTCCTGCACGAGAAACCAAGCCGGAGACTTGGTCTGGGGCAAATTAAGTCCCACAACTGGTTTAAGGTAGTGAACCTAAGATCAGCTATGAAGAATTAATGTCCTCATGAGAAAGAAGCAAAAGCTCAAACCTGTTCTTTTTTGTGTTTTGTTTCAGGTCGTCTCATAAGACCACTCCAGTTGGCGTCTCACATGCAGCTTTGTGTCTTGCGGGCTGTAGCGGGAGATGCTTCCATCCCTCCTCTCGCCTTTGCGTCTTGCGGGGCGAGCAAGCCTTGTGTAGCGTCTTGCGCCTTGGCTTGAGGAAGCAGTATTTGCGTCTGGCGGTACTGCTTCCGGAGGGATGTGTACATATTGTATATATGTGCATACTTCTTTTGGTTGCCCCTTTTTGTTTTTCCCATCATGGCCACTCCATTCCTGAGGTTCCTGCCACAGCTGTCCAAATGCCAGAGCTCAGTCTTCACCTCTCATCTTCCTCAGTGCCAGTGCTCTTGGTCTTGGCTCCTCCTCAAATAATTGCAGTCTCGGAGGTTCATGTAACGGCCCTAGCCAGAGTCAGCACCCAAGACCATCTCAGTCCCAGAGATACCCGTCTCAGCAACCCTGGTCTCCGAGCTCCATAGTGTGTCTGTCCAGACCCAGGGTTTCTTGTCAGAAGCTGCACAAGACGTTAAAAAGCCATTATAGCAGTCACAGAGGGTGCCGTCATTGGTACCTGGTCTACAAGCTCCAAATCAGAAATAAAGAACAATATTTGAAATTAAGGTTTTCGTTTAGTCGTTTAGCAGTGTAACGAATCAGCTCATGGGAAATATGAATAATTAATCATAACTAGTTATAATTAATTATGAATATTTTAGATCCGCTGTAGATATTTAGCTGACCTCTCAGGGTCAACTGTCTTGTCAATTCTAAGAACGTTAATTTCCTGGTTAAGGGAAATAACTTCCTTACTGTTACTTCAACCCAAAGCATTTCACAAATGGGGAACATCACAAACTATTAATAAAAAAAATAAATACAAAATAAAAGTCTCAATAATACTCACAGAACCACAATGGCAAGGTAAGTAGAAGTTAGCAGAGGAAATACAGGTAAGAAAAACAAGAAACTGTTTTAAAGGGGTCATATGATGCTTTTTTAAAGATCATTATTTGGTGTAACAGAATATGTTGACATGCTTTAATGTTCAAAAAACACATTATTTTTCAAATACTGTACATTATTGTAAGTCCTCTATGGCCCGCCTCTCTTAAAATGCTTCGTTTTCGACAAAGTCCCTCCTTCCGACAAGCGCAGTCTGCTCTGATTGGCCAGCTGACCCAGTGCATTGTGATTGGCCGAACACCGCAAGCGCTCGTCGGAAATGTAGCCCCTTAGAGCTTCATCTTTCAAAATAAATGTAAAGACAGTAAATAATGTCATTAGTTTTACCATCAGTTCAAGCCCGAAAGGGGAACAGACACAGTAATGATG